ATGCATGCCCAAATTCCTGAGAGGAGAATGGAAGACAAGGGATTACGTTGTGGCCATATGTGCTGGAGGGTGATTTCTCACTTTCCTTCTCTCTGTCAATTTCTATGAAGACCACAAGCACCCTACAGCAAAAACCTTAAAAACAAACAAAGAAACAGGTAAGTGTTCTTAGAGGTCTAAGAAACAAGAGTACACAATGAAGATACAAATGAAGTGGCACTGAAACAGCAGTAGCAAGGAATTTACTGCATTTTTATGCCAGATGCTGATTACATTTCCATAGACGGCTGGCCATTTGCCAGAATCAGTTATTCTAGAGCACACACGCCTGGCTGAAATCCTAAACCAATGGCGGACAGCTACCTTGTAGGAATGAGATGCTTAAGGCAAATTTTGCGGTTACAGTGCGAAGAGCTCCATTATTGCCCTCATATATTCCTTAGAAAACAGAAGACCAGGTCAGCCACAGACAAGAACATCCTCTAAAACAAAGATTTATTTGAAAGAGAAATACAGTAAACCAAGACACACCATACTAGCCAATTAGAATTCTATTTTTAGCCTTAGTTATTGATCATACAAAGCAAAATTAAAGTGTAATAAAATAGAAGTAAAATGTAATGGCCAATCATGTCAACTCTATGTTACATATGCGTATCTATACAGGTCACAAGCATGAACCCAGGAGAAGAAATCTAGATAGGAAAAGCTACTCCTAACAGAAAATCTCAAAGTCTTGCTAAATAAAAGGGAAATAACAAGTATAAAGTAATAAGTCAAAATTTTAAAATGTGGGCCAATAAGTACTGTGGTGATTAAGGCACTGGACTCCCACATGGCCGACCACGGTCTGAGTCCTGGACATAGTGGCTTGCTTTCTCACTTTTCCTCTCTCTCCCTCTCTGTCTCTGTTTCTCCCTGGTAAATGCACGTGCCCTGTAGCAAATTTAAAATAATAAATAAACAAATAAAATTAAATAAGTATTTTTAAAAATTTAAAGAATTATTTTATTTAACTATTTATTTATTGGTTTGTTTGTTTTAATTTGACCAGAGAGGGACAGAGTGAGAAAGAGAGACAGAGAGAGAGACAGACAGAGAGAAAGCTGCCAGGTCTGGGACTTGAACTGCTGTCAGCCATATAGGAGTCCAGTACCCTTAACTACCACTCCACCTGCCAGCTCCCCCAAAATATTTTAATGTTTTAGGGCTGTTTCTTCCTGTTAGTGGCCTCAGATAACCAAAGATTATTTCAATTCATCAGAGTAGTAAAAGAGAAAAAGTTAAAAAAAATAATCAGCATACTAGAGAATAATTTCATAGAGTAAATCAAATTCTTTTTTTTTTTTTGGGAGAGATTTTTGCTATAGGGCGCGTGCGCTCACCAGACAGACAGAGAGAGACAGAGAGACAAAAAGCAGGAAATCACCCCCCCCAGGGAGGATGGCCACACCGCAATCCCTTCTCCATTCTCCTCTCGGGATCTTAGGCACACACGCACACGCGCCCAGCGTGAGTTTAAGCCACCAGGTCGGGGACTTGAACCATGATCAACTACGTGGAAGTCCAGCGACATATCCATTACGCTAACTGCTGGTCCCATCAAATTCTTATTTTAAAAAGGGTCAATCTTACGATGTTTAATCAGAAAGGGTATTTGACCTGCACTATTACATGTGTTGCCTCTGTTCCATTCCATTTCTCTAACAAGACTTCCAAGTCAAAAACAGAAAATACTTGGTTTCCTGAAGTCACCTGTTTCCTGTCTACCCCTTTAAGCAGAAGCCAATCCATTAACTCAAAGTTCTCCTCAAGGCAACCCTAACTCCTCCCCAAACTGACAATCTGAATGAGAGGAAAAGACAAACCACAGAACAGGTGTGGAAAAGATAAACATAATTCATCAAAAAAGAATGGCATTAAATTATCTTAAGATATTTCCTTCGACTATTTTTTAAAATTATTTTTAATTTTATTTATTCATTTACTTATTTTATTTTGACCAGAGAGACACAGAGAGAGAGAGAGAGAAAGGGAGAAAGCAAGCCACCAGGCCCAGGACTTGAACCAGGGTTGGCCACGTGGGAATGTTCAGCACCTTAACCACAACGCCACCTGCTGGTCCCCCTCCTTCAACTATTAATTCCTCTGGCTTCCAATAAAGCCCAAAGCTACTTGTAAATCCAGGGAAACTTATCAAGAGGACATGTACATATTCCATAGACACTAGTTATAAGAAACCTTTCGTATAATTAAAACTAGTTTTGTGTCAACCTTAAATATAAGATAATGAATTCTTCTAAAATTATTCTCAGGAAAATAAATTTATTAGTTCTCTTTTCTTAATAGGATGCTATTTTCAATTATTAGTTTACCCATTACATTAGTACAGATATGATCTATTAAATGCACTGCTTCTAATATGTTTCTATAATTTTATTAGTTCTTTTAATTTGCAAGAGGGAAAATTAAAATTTTGTCTTTCTGTTCGCCAGAGAGACAAAAAGACTGCAAGAGAAGGAGAAGGAAAGGGAGAAAGCACCTCTCAACAGAGCATGGTCACACCACAATCTCTTCATTTTTCCATCCTGTCAGGATTTGAAGCATCCCATGGACAAGTACGTGGCATGTTTTTCAAGCTGCTGGGGCCAGGATTCAAATCCAAAATATGAGGCTGGCCAGCTCCTTTAACTACTAGCCACAGGGCTGGCCCACAATTATTCATTTTTCATGCCAGACTCAGCTTTTCTTTTTTTTAACAACAACAACAAAAAAACTAACTTGCTCATATATTTACATATTTTTAAAATTATCTTATTTAATTTTTTAAAAAATTAACTTTATTTATTTATTCACTCATTTCTATTTGACCATGGTGGTGGGGAGAGAGAGAGAAAGTAAGAAAGCAAGTCATCAGGTCCGGGACCCGAGTAACAGTCAACCATGTGGGAGTACAATGCCCTTAACCAACAAGCCACCTGCTGGCCCCATATTCACTTATTTATTTTAATACATGGTCTCAGGCTGCCAGGTGGTGTGGTGATTAAGGGCACTCAAGT